CGCACTCAGGCACCCCCGGTCTTTCTGTGACCCCGAGGGTCCTGAGACCACACTGTCCCGCGAGGGTTCCACCCCCAGCTTAGCCACTGGAGCGAAGTCTCTCAGTGGAGCCGACTTCTAAAAGTTCCGGTTTTGTGCTCCGTGGCTCTATCACTTGCCAGAAACAGCGGAGGCCCCCTCCCCTGCCGTCTATCCTCCCGAATATCGCCTCGGATTGACTTCTCCGCACGTCCTACCTTCCAGTAAGTGGTCACTTCTCTGTTCAGAGAGTTGTTGCTACTCTCTTCTTCGATCTCCTGTTGAGTTCGTAGGTGTTCAGAATGGTCTGATCCCTATTCAGCTGAATCCCTGAGATCAGACGAAATCCAGGTCTCCTACTCCTCCGCCATCTTCTCCTGCATGTTTCTTAATTAAGCTTCTTTTTCTCTGGGTCTCAACATCTCTCATTTAGATTGATATTTCCTAACTGGTCTCTCTGCTGCTGCTTGTCTCCTTTAATTTCACCCTCTACAAGGGTATAAGAAGCATTTATCTGAAATGAACATCCAACTGTCCTTCCCTTGCTTCAAACTGATCAATGGTTCCTGTCTAGCTTTAGAATAAAGCCCGCCTTTCTTGACATGATTACAGAGTCTTTATGATTTGAACATCTGAACATTTTTATCTCATACCTGTCTTTGCATACATTTCCTATAGTAACTGAACAGAAACTGTAATTTCATACTGTTCCCTTAATATGCTGGGACCTTTTGTGTTTCCACATATTTGCTCATGTTGTTCCTCTTATTTAGCTATCTCTACTCCCTCCCTTTTGCAACCTCAATTATTTCTGTGTGGGCAAGGATACCATCTCCCCCAGAAAGTCTTTCCTGAAAGTTCCGGTAGAGCTGGGTTGGGTAATTCTCCTCTCTATACTCTTGCTCTGTGTATTGCTTTTACTTGGCACACTCTAAGTTTTTTAGTGAACATCAGGAAAATCAATAAAGACACGTAAAAAGGATAAAAATAATAAGTATGTGCCTACAGTACTTGTGCCCCATTCTGAGGCCTTTGAGAACACAAACGATAAATTATTCATATTTGTAATCCCACTTCTTAGCTTAGCCCTGACAGACTGATGATCAGTAAGTGTTCTGTTAAATGAAGGTGACTGAGAGGAAAAAGAGTATACAAAAATAAATCGCAGAAAAGATAAGACTTCCTTGCCGTATTCCTTCGTAATGGTTCTAGTCCTGCTTGTATCTGAGCAGTTACATTGACTTCTTTGATTCTAGAGGGTTCTCATTAAAAATAACTCCAAATAAAGCAATTTATCTCCTTCTTGTCAGCATTATTAATTCAATTGAGAAACTGTCCTGTACCTGACATCAGATCTCTTACTTTATCACCAAAGGTACCTTTTAAAAAAGATGTGCCATGTGTAATCTCCATCAGATAAGTGGAAAATAAGAAGGAAGAACAAAACCAAGTAGAGAATAAAATGAACTTGGCAGCACCATGCCATTTATCACATGGAAAATTACTCACATGCAGCAGTAATACAGCAGCCAGAAAAGACTGTCCTTGACAGTACCCAATGTCTTCGTCGTAGACAGAGTAGGCCTGGAGAAAAGATGAAGAGAAAGAAGTACTATAAACATTCACAGATTTTAACATAAGTTAACATCAGACTGCTGCCTGATCTTGACCCTGAGCTGTCCGCCACAATTTCACTGGTACTTCAACTTAAATGTGTGAGTCATTAGCACAGTGGGATTCCCCCAAAGATGTTGCACAGTTCCTAAAGCAATTCTAGATGTCCCATTATCCCCAGGTTCATCTTTAGAATCTGGAATAAAGAGATGCTCAGAGCACCTAATTTTAAAAGCTCCATTATGATTTGTAGAGAGTGGGAAGGTTCTAGAGTCGATGTGGGAGTTCTAATGCGGAAACAAACATCCCAATTGTGCTGTTTGAATCCTGGACATGTATCCCATCCCACGGATCCCAATCTATGTGTTGTGCTTCATTTCAGTGAGGGATTTTCCGTTTAATGTGCTTAATAAAATGCATTATGATTTTGTGAGTATAAAAACTGTCTCTGTCCAGGGCGGTGATTATTAAAGATTAGTAGGAAGAGTTACCACAGGGAGGAGGCTAAGTGTGGTAGCTTCCATATGCCAAGGTAGTCAGAGTATGGGTCTGGAACTACTTTTTTTTTTTCTAGAAAAAAAACAAAACCTTTCTTGAAATAGAGTTTGTATCCAGTGAAATGCATACATTCGTCCTTGAGTTGGGATTTATAAGTACATAATTACATTTATGCAACCACATCGTTACAGAATATTTCCATCATTCCACAACGTCCCTCATGCCTCTTTGCAGTCAACCACCTCCACTCCAGAAAACCACTGGTCTGATTTTTATCACAATATATTATTAGCTTTGCATTTTTAAAACAATCTTATACAAATGCAATCATATAATATAAACTCTTTTGTGTCTGGCTTCTTTTACTCAGTATAATGTTTCGGAGATTCTTCCATGTTGTTGCATGCATCAGTAGGTCATTCCTTTTCACTGATGAGTAGTACTCCACTGTGTAAACATACCACAATTTGCTTATCCTTTCTCCTGTTGAACATTTGGGTTTTTTCATGTTTGGTTAGTATGAATAAAGCTGTTGTGTATACACAAGGGTTTTTTTTTTTTAATGGATATAGGTTTTTATTCTCTTTAAGTAAATACCCAGGAGTGGAAGTTCAAGGTTTAAATGATAAGTGCATGTTTAACTTTATAACAAATTGCCAATGTGTCTTCCAAAGTGGTTGTAACTCAAGCATTACACGTATAGCAGCAAACTATGAGTACTCACTGCTTCACATCCTTGTCAATATCTGATACTGCCAGTCTTTTTCCTTTTATTAATCCCTGTGGTTTTGATTTGCATTTCCCTGAATGCTAACAATGTAGAGTGTATTATCATTGCTTTTAGGCAATTGATATATATTCTTTTGTGACTGTCTCTTCAAGCTCTTGCCCATTTGTTTAATTAGGTTGTTTGTCTTATTACTGTTGATTCATTGGAGTTCTTGATACATTCTGTTCACGAATCCACTGTCAGACATATGTTGTCAGTATTTTCTCCCTGTCTGTGCCCTGCCTTTTCACCTTCTTAATGGTGTCTTTTGAAGTACTATTGTTTTCTTTTAACCTTCTTCTGCTAATGATGATATTATCACACTCTCTTCTAATGAGAGAAAAATTAGATCATGGAAACATTACCTAATGAATCTGAAAGGAGCTTTTTCTTCATTATCACCAATTTCCAGAGCTCTGCCTAATTTTGAAAATTGAAAGATGCATTAGCATCCTTTTACTTATTTAATTTTGATTTATACAGTTATAGTTCTGATTGCTTAATTTGTACTTTTATCCAGACCTCATCATGGATGTGTATATTAGGGGTTGGAAGAAGAGTTACAGAGAGAATAGAAAAGGAACAAAAAAGGAAGAAAGAAGCAAAACGTTCTAATATTATCCCAATTTGAAGCATTCCTGATAGTGCTCCATCACTACCTTTTTCATGAAGAAGGAACTCTGGGATTTGTTGATGAGAGAGCATGTTACATGAATGATGAATATATTTTCAAGGCTTCCCCTCCCCCATGAAAGATGCCAGTTAAGGATTCCTTAAAACTATGGATCTCCAAAAGCCAGTCATGCTTCATCAAACCTGACATCATTTTAACCAATGTTTGATCTATTTACAGAAGTATATTTATTGTCTATTGAGAAGTGTGCTGTTTATATGCTCAGCATATAAGTCCAACAGAAAATAAAGGTCCATGACACATCAGACAGAAAAGGTATGAATTCAGTGACTCCAGAGACTAGTCTCTAATTAGAGAGCTCAGGATGAAAGTACAGATCAGATATGCAATGATCTTACTTTCTACTTGTTTTACGGTTTTAAGTTAGAAGCAAAAATGACCTTCCGGAGGCCATCTACTAAATTGATTTTATAATTTCCAGTTTAAAAAACAGTGTTCTAGGGGCACCTGGGTGGTTCAGTCAGTTAAATGTCTGACTTCTGCTCAGGTCATGATCTCGGGGTCCTGGGAGCCAGCCCTCCATTGGGCTCCCTGCTGAGAGGGGGGTCTGTTTCTCCCTCTGCCTTTCCCTCTGCCCCACCGCTACTCGTGCTTGCTCTCTCTCTCAAATAAATAAAATCTTTAATTAAAAATAAAATAAAATAAATTAAAAACAGTGTTCTAGCAAGTTCTTTCCCCTGGAGTTTTTCCAAGCACCATTTGGCTTTAGTCTAAGCCTTCTCTAACTGAGGTGAACTGAATCCTTTCCCTCTACTCAAAACTTGCTCCTCTTTGCACCAAACCTCTCCCCATTCCTTACTTTAATTGCATCTCTGGCCAGATGCCTGCTCACTCTGACTTTTAAAAACCACCTGGGTACCACTTCTGTAATGGAACAGTAGCTCCTACTGGGCCAACCTTCCCTCTGGCAACAAATTTAAACTATATCTGGACAAATACATAACAACAGTTACCTGAAGACATTGATGAGCTAAACGAAAGCAGTCAGAAACTGGAGTGGAGAATAAACTAAGAAGAGGGGATTGACACTGGGTAAAATTCCCAATCTTTATGGCTTTTGCTGAAGAGCAGTGATACCACATTGGATGGCTAAAACTTGGACATAAAACTTCAGTGTTATTGGCTTGAAGAACCAGAGAATAAATTAGGGTAACAGCTAGAAAGTGAGAGTGGAAATTCTGGAAAAAGGAGTAACAGAAGAGAAGCCATTGCTATACTTACAGTAAAATTATAATATTCAAGACAGTATAAAACTGATACAAGGACAGACAAAAAAAATCAGTAAACAATAAAAAGTCTAGAACTATAAGCACACTTATAAAGTCATTTGATTTCCACAAAGTTACCAAGATAATACAATGAGGAAAATAAAATTGTTTATATATGGAAACATGTAAGTATATGAAAATTGTTTCAATGAATGTACTCAAAAAGTTGGATATCCATATGGGGAAAATAAATGAACCTTGATACCTACCTCACTTCATACACAAAAATTAATTTCAGACTTATCACAGTTCTAAACATAAAACTAAAACTATGAGGCTACTCAATGAAAACAGAATATCTTTGTAACATGGTGAAGGCAAAGGTTTCTTAGGACACAGAAGCACTAACTATAAAAGAATAAACTGATACAGTACACATTATAAAATTTAAAAAACCCCCAATGATGAAAAGACACTGTTAAGAAAATAAATAGGTAAACCACAGACTGGGAGAATATTTGCAAACATATCTGGAAAAAGTCTTGCATCATATACATAAAGGACACTTACAACTCAATGTCAAACAACTCAAGTTTAAATACAAAAGATTTGAAGAGACACTTCACAAAGGGTTATCTATGAATGACCAGTAAAAACAGCACCAAGTGTTCAACATCATTAGTCAATATATTAAAATGAAATTAGAGCCACAGTGAGACATTAGTGCATAGCCACCAGAAACTAAAATTAAAAAGACTGGTACATCTAACGCTAGTATCCTTGGATTCTCAAACATTGTTGGTAGGAGTATAAAACAGTAAAACTACTTTGTAAAATTGTTTGACAGTTTTCTAGAAAACTAAACATACACCTACCTTATGACTCAGCAATTCCACATCTATGTATTCATCCAAGAGAAATGAATGCAAATGTATACAAGAAAGACTGATATAGGGCTAAGACATATTTCTAGCAGATTTATAATAGCCCCAAACTGTAAGCAGCCTCAGATATCCCTTATCAGGAAGTGTATAAATAAACTGTGGTGTATTCATACAACGAAGCACTCCTCAGCAACAAAAAGTAATGAATCACGTACACCTGTAACATGGAAGAATCTCAGAACTATTATGCTGTGTGAACTACATCTTACATGAAAATGATTCTCCTCTGTGAGTCCACTAATATAAAGTTCTACAAATCAAAGCGATAAATGGTTAAAAAAATCAAAACAAAGATTGCTTCTGGGGGAAGGGTCAGGGATTAACTGTGAAGACATGACAGAACATCTATGTCTTGGATTACACAAGTATATGCATTTGTCAAAATTAATGAAATGGCACTCCTAATATTTGTGTACTTCACTGAAAGTAAATTGTACCTACAAAAGAAAACTGTTAGCAAATACTGAGCTCTAGCTAATAATATACATGTTGCACTATTAGGCATAAAGACATACAAAGGCAATTTTGAAATGCCTTAAAATATTAAAATGGATTGATTAATTGAACAAAAGGGTAGATGGATCGATAGGTAAGTGACAAAGAAAATGTAACAAAATATTAATTGTAAAACCTAGGCGGTGGGTTGATGGATGTTTCCTGTACAGTTCTTTGTACTTTTCTATATATTTGAAAATTTTCATAACAGTTTGGGGGGGAAAAAATCTTTGGCTGCACTCTGTCTCTTCTCTCTGCTCTGAACTATAGACTACTTTTCTGGCTGGGTTCCCAAGAGTACTTCATATTTTCATTCAGCAAGTCAATATTTACTGAGCATCTATTCTGTAATCAAACATTGC